GCCTGCTGTGTTCATCCAGCCCTGCACCTTGTTGTCTCGGATTCTCCAGCATCTGCAGATCCTACTATCTCTGGCCAATATGTGACTCCAGATTCACAGCAATGTGGTTGACTCTTAACTGCTGTCTGAAATGACTCTGTATCAGGGCAAATATGCGTAGGCAATAATTTTTTTGCTTTTGATGTTAAGTTATAAATGTGTTGCCTTTGGTGTCCACTTCCCATGAAAGAATAAAAAAAATTACTCTCCTTAAGTAACAAATCTGAAACTGTACACAGTATTTCAGATGTGCCGGAGCTGGAGTTGTAAACAATTGGGAGGCTGTTTGATGGAGATACTGTATCTAAGCCCCTGCTGTTCCTGTTCTGGGAGTGTTTGATGGGGACAGTGTAGAGGGAACTTTACTTTTTGTCTAACCTTGTGCTGCCCTTGTTCTGGAATGTTTGATGGGGACAGTGTCGAGAGAGCTTTATTCTGTATCTAAGTCCGTGTTATACCTGTTCTGGGAGTATTTGATGAGGGTGGGGTGGGGGTGTCAAAGTAGAGGGAGCTGTGCACTGCAAATCAGCTGAGAGAGTTTGATGGCTTCATTCAACGCAAATAGAAATTCTCTTTAACCAAAATGACTTTAGGCACAAGAATAAAAAGTGACAAAGCAGTCTGGAGTGGTGAAGGAATGAAAATCTAATGACAGAATTTGTTTGTTCTTTTTCCCAGTTTGCAAGCCCTCCGGAAGGAGAAGTCTCGCAATGCTGCTCGCTTTCGACGGGGGAAGGAAAACTTTGAGTTTTACGAATTGGCAAAGATGCTTCCACTCCCAGGAGCCATCACCAGCCAGCTGGACAAGGCCTCCATCATTCGGCTGACTATCAGCTACCTTCGGATGAGAGACTTTGCCAATCTGGGGGATCCCCCATGGAACCTGAGGATTGAGGGGCCCCCGCCTAACATCTCTGTCAAAGGTATGTTGAGCCAACAGTGGCGAGATAAAGTGGAATGGGCCTATCCTCTCTTAAGATTGGGTAGTGACCTCGGTGAAAGTTGTGTAATTCTGAGAGGCTTAGGTAAAGGTAACTGTTGAAAGGCTGTTTCCCGAACTGGTTGGATAATCTAAGACTTTGGGTCACAGTCTCAGGATAAGGGATCTGCCATTTTGGATTGTGAGAATGAGAAGATCCTTCATGAAGAAGGTGTGAATCTTTGGAATTGTCTGCTACAGAGAGCTTGGTCTTGGGATGACTGAGGTGGACAGATTTTTGAATGCAGCAGAGAATTATGGGATATTGCAAGAAAATGGAGTAATTGTAATTCACACCCTGATCTTATTAAATGTTCTAGCAGACTTGAAGGATATGTAGGTTATTCTTTACCCGGTCTAGGCCCACATGTGACTCCAGATCCACAGCCATGTTGGCTGACTCTTAAATTCCCTCTGACATAGCTGAGTAAGTCCCTCAGTTCAATGGCAATGAGGGATCTTCAATGAATGCTGATCTTGTCAGCGTTGCCCATATCCCATGAAAGAATAAACAAAAAGATTTCAGTGAGAAGACAGACTCAAGGGCGACTTTCGCTGTTTCTATCCTGCAAGAGATGCCTCATTTGCAATGGATCACATTGGTCAGTTGGCCACCCCTCCATCTTCCACCTCTCTTCTTGGATGGAGTTTTACCGAGGTGCTCAGTTCTAATGGCTTTTGCACGATGTTTTGGAAAGCCTCAGTATAAATTATATACATGAAGCTTTGTGTTACAAAGATGTTGCTGACGTAAGACGAGTTGGACAAAGACCATATGGTCCCCCTTTAACACTTGATGTCTGGCAGAAAAGTCTATAGAGCTTCCTCTGGCTTCACAAAAGGCACAAATCAAGATCATGGCCAGAGCATCTTTAAATCCTCCTGAGCAGACGTGGAGGCTACTGTTTAACATCTTAGCTGAGGGACAGTGCCTCTCTCAATCTAGTGCTTCCTCAGTGCTGTATGAGAGCACCCACTTTGAGTTTGTGCCCAAGCCCTGAACTAGATCTTGAAACCAGAACCACATAACTTCAAGGTGAGAGCACTACCCACTGAGCCACAGAGGATTCTGGGGGCAGCTGTTTTGGGTTAACTTGTTCACCCTGTGTCTCGGTCATCTGATTTCAAGGTTTAACAAGCTCTAGTTTCTTCATGTTAGCTCATTACTTTGACTTTGGGCACCACTGTAACGGGCTTTACTATATTATCTCCAGGACTTCAGACAAAGAATTGGCAGTTCAGTCTGACAAGATCCACTCAGCTTTGTAATCTACCAGAGGAAAGATTTTTCAGAACAGTCTTTGAGAAGAAATTTTTCACGTTTTGTTGAGTAGGTTACTTAAACCATTAGTTATCCTGTTGGTTCAGTTGATAAGTGAATTGTCTGGTCTGCAGTTGAATCATGCATAGAGCCCAGGTCCCAGGGTACAGGAGAGGGAGCAACATCAGGAGTTAATAGCCTGGGCACAGGCCCATAGGGAACTCTCTGTGCTCACGTAAAGGTCTGACCAGGAGCAGCAGTGCGGCGTGTATTTTCTGCATCTACCAGGGTCAGTGCTAAGTTTCCGTTGGGTTAACTGACTTCGGCGTCCTGTTGTGCGTGAAATTTTGAAGGTAACAAACGATGTGGAGAGAGTGCAGGAAAATGACATTGAGTTGAAGATTAGCCACGATCTAGTTGAATGGTGGAGTAGACTCAGGGGGCCAAATGGCCTACTCCTACTTTCATTTTCAATGATTCTACTGCAGTGGTCAGTTAGCTGATGGCTGGTTTCTGAAGCAACAGATGCCAACAGCGTGGGTTTAGTTCTCACTCCAGCTGACGTTACCATGAAGGACTCTACTTCTCAACCACCTCCTTACCTGTGATGTGGTGACCTTCAGGTTAAAACACCATTAGTCATCTCTCTCTCTCTCTCTCTCTTATGAGAGGGTGTCCCTCTGTTCCTCTGGAACAGTGGTGTCTTTTACTGCAAGTGTCCTACAGCATACGGACTGCAGCACTTTAAGACGGCGGCTCACAGCCACCTCAAGGGGCAATTAGCGATGGATAATAAATGTTGGCCCAGCCTGTGACACCCTAATCCCACTCGGGGAAACATCCTCCCAGTATCCACAACATCAAATCCCCAAAAGCTCTTATACGTTTTAACAAAGTGGCTACTAGATCTTCCAAACTCTGGTGAGTATCTGTCCAACTTGCTTAACCTTTCCAAAGATCAACTTAAACAGGCTTCTTGTAGTTAGGTTTTGGAGAAAATGGTTTCTTTTCTGTTCACTGTAAACAGCAATCATTGTCATTTCCATAGTGCAGTTTAATGTAGTGAAATAACCAAGAAGCTAGATGAGAATGGGATCAATTCAAACTATTTTACTACTGAACTATAAAGGGAGATGTCAAGACAGGCATACAATTATTGATGAAAATGATAGGTTTCAGAAGGTTCAGGAATCACAGAATCATGGAATTATGTCAATACAGAAGGAAGCCATTCAGCCCATTGTGTCTGCCCTGGCTCTCTAAATGAGAAATTCCCTTTATAAAATGGACTGTTTGAGTGTTATTTGTTTTTATTCATTCACAGAATGTGGGCGTTGCTGGCTGGGCCAGCATTTATTGCCCATTCCCAGTTGCTCTTGGGAAGGTGAGCTGCCTTCTTGAACTGCTGCAGTCCTTTTGGTGTATGTAGACGAATTATGCCATTAGGGAGGGAATTCCAAAATGTTTCCTTTTAATGTGTTCCAAACGCAGTTACAAAACACTTACTCACAGATTACAAAGGGGTAGGTATGTTATTGTTCACTCAGGGAGTCTGGGTTGCTATGGCAAAGTGTTTTTGCTGTCTGCCACGGTGGGATTTGAACCGATGTCCCCAGAACATGAGCCTAATTTAAAACAAAGATGTTCTAGGCATGGGGGTCATTGTAATTCAGTGAGCACAGGGGTGATGGGTTGAATGGAATCCCAGTGAGAGTTTTGTTCAGGGTACCGCAAACACAGTGTTACACAGCTGTTGATACCATACCAAGGGAAAATGTGAAAAATCTCTTCATTAACAAGATGGATAACTCTTGATGCTTTGTCAAGTATCCATTTTTGTTCCCCTCTTCTATATGACTAATTTACAAAAAAGATGGAAAAGCAACCCAGTACTTTTCTGTAAAGCTTCTAGAATGTTTTGCTTTGTCCATTAATTTTTATGGGCCAATTTTGGAAAGTCAACCCCAGGTTCAATGGTGTTGCAGTCGTACTGTGATGGAATCCTTTCTACTCACTTGGATGAGTATGGAATACAAGAAATGGCAGGAGTACCCCATTCAGCCAATCAAGCCTGCTGTGCCATTCAGTACAACCATACAATGATTTTGGGCTTCAACTCCACTTTTTTGCCTCCTCCATTCCCTGAGACACCAAAATTCTGAGCATTCCAGACTTAAATATATTCAACAATGAAGCATCCACAACCCTCTTCGATAGAAAATTCTAAAAATTCTCAACTCCATCAACGATCAAGAAGTTTTCCACCATCCAGGACAAAGCAGCCTGCTTAACTGGCACTCCGATCATCACCTTCAACACCCACTCCGTCCATCACTGCCGCACAGCGGCGGCAGTGTGTACCATTTACAAGATGAACTGCAGTAATTCACCAAGGCTCCTTAGGCAGCATCTTCCAAACCTCTGACCTCTATCACCTAGAAAAACAAGGGCAGCAGATACATGAGACCACCTCCCTGCAAGTTCCCCTCCAAGTTACACACTGTCTGACTTAGAACTACTGCTTGGAACTCTATTACAGTGTAAAATACCACAAATTCTTTTGAATTTCGGGGTCTTACTGCTCCTAAAAGAGGCAAATCTCTGTTTAAAATCTTCATTTTGCTAGTTAGGCAGTGGCTGACTGGTATGTTACTGGTCTAGTAATCCAGAGCGCCAGGCTAATTTTCTTGGGACATGGGTGCGAATCCCATTGTGGCAGATGGTGATATTTAAATTCAGTAAAAATCTTGGCAACCAACTAATGCCCTTTAGTAAGGGAAATCTGCTGTCTTTAGCTGGTCAGATTTACATGTGACTCCAGACTTACAGCAATGAGGTTGACTCTTAACTTCCTTCTGAAATGGTAAAATTAAATAAAGAACTGTGAATGCTGAAAATCTGAAACAAAAATAGAAATTGCCGCTTAAACTCAGCAGGTCTGGCAGCAACTGTAGAGAGAGAAAAACAGAGTTAATGCTTCGAGTCAACTGACCCTTCTTCAGAACTAAATTGCATTATTGATTTTTCTTCTTCCCTGGCTTACTATCAATCAGTCCTTTGTCTGCCTAACTTTCTTTCTCTCTCTCTCTCTCTCTCTGTTCTTTGTCTCCACTTATCTGCTAACTTGTTTGCCCACACCCCCTGTCATCAGCATAGATACCACTTTTTCCTACCTGCTATCAGTTCTGAAGAAGGGTCACTGGATTCAAAGCATTAACTCTGTTTCTCTCTTCACAGTTGCTGCAAGGCCTGATGAGTTTCTGTTATTGTCCCTCTGAAATGGCTCTAGCGAGCCACTAAGTTCAGGGGTCAATTAAGGATGGACAACAGATGCCCCTCACCCATATTTCATGAATGAATGAGAAAGTAGGAATTTCCTTATTAATGAGTTGCAGCTTTAGTGTGATCCATCTGGAATGTAGTTTTGTTTTTGGGACCCAATCACTGCTTTGTAACAGACCTCCACTGTATATCGGACGTTCCTTCTGTGTCATGGGTCAAAGTCTGGGAACTTCCTCCCTAACAGCATTGTGGTTGTACCTACACCAAATGGACTGCAGCAATTCAAAGAGGCTGTTCACCATCACCTCCTCGATGGAATTAGGGTTGGGCAATAAACACTGGCCCAGCCAGAGACATCCCGTGCCTGGACAAAATACAATC